CGAGCCTCTCCGGGGGGAGGCGCCGGCTCCGCGCCCAGCTGGCCCGCTGCTACAGGGAGCGCCCCGGGGCGGCGGTAGTAGCTGGGGGGTCCCAGCGCCTGAGGGGCGGGGGGATGAGGGGCGGCTGCGGGAGGGGGTGGCTTAAAAATCGCTGGAGAAATTATAGGGTTTAGGGTTTTTCTGTGGTTTTCTTTTTCCCTGGGACTCGTTCAGATGCAGAGTGTTATCCATGCGGTTTAGGCCGTGCTGGAGCCGTTCCCCTCTGTGCTGCTGTGGGTCTGTGGAGAGCTATAATGGTGTTACCTGAAATAATTTGGTGCTTTCTGGGCGCTCCCCATCCTATAACATCTTGATAGGGCTGCTGAGGGATGTTAATGCAAGTTGAGTGAATTCCTAGTGAAAAAAAAAAAGCTGTTTCCAAGATAAAAGTTCACATCATCCCCAGGCAGGTGGTTGTTTTGCTTGTGTAGGAGCTGCCTAAATTAGAGATGGAAGAAAGGTAGCCAAGGTTCTCCTCGGTTACCCCACCTGTGCTCGCCTGGGGGGCAGTCCTTCCAGAAACCAACCCTTGAGTGCCTGTGATGCGTCCTGACTCTGCCCTGGTGTCTTACAGGGAAGGAAACCCAGAAAGAGCCTCTGCTCTTTGATGATCTCCCACCAGCCAGCAGTGCTGACTCAGGTACGGGTGCTCCATTCCTGCCATTAGTTTGACTTCCCGTGTTTTCTGCATCAGCATCTCTTGAGATGAAACTTGTGTAAACCCTTTTTGTTAGACAGGATAAAGAGAGTCGGATTATCAGCACCGGTGTGCAGAGAAGCTGCTTTCCTCTTCTTGTGGGTTTTTTTTTTGATAACCAGAATGTTATAGATGTTCCACATATATTCCATAAAATGTTCCATTTAAATATTCCCTGAAACAAATGAAAGGCCTGAGTTTGCCCCCACCATCCAGTAACAGAAGTTGAAATTTGGCTCGCTTTGGTAAACTGGCATTTTATAATTTCCGCACCTCAAGATGGGTGTACACAGAGCAATATTCCCTCAAAGGGACAAAGGTATTTAGTTCTTCTTGCCTTTTTCTTGTGCTTCAGGAAAAGGAGGC